TTCCTTAGTTCTGAAGCTGACTTTAATGTTAATACAGCCATTCCTGCTTTTTTTTGATGGTTTACATAATACACTATTTTATTTCTTTTAATTTCAACCCGACTATGGCATTATCTTCGAAGTGAGTTTATTGTAAACAGCATATAGTGTGTCATATTTTTAAATTCACTCTGTCAATCTTTATATTTTAACTGGTTTTTCTAGTAATCACATTAGACACATAATTTATCATAGTCTATTGGTGTGTCATATTAGTGGTTATCTCATGTTCCTTTACCCTCCCTCATTTATAACATCACTGTCTTAAATCTTTCCTCTACATATATACCAGATGTTATGATTTTTCTTTCAATCCTAAGTCATAATTTAGAAAATTCAAGAGGAGAAATGAAACTTAGTGTACTGACCAATATTTTTCTTACCATGTTCATTGTTTCTAACTGAAATTTCAAGATTCCTTATCAATTTCCTTCGTGTTTGGAGAACGTTAGCCATTCTTTTAGGGAGATCAACTAACAACAAATTCTTAATTAAAAAAAAAAAAAGGTCTGTGTATGTCCTGATTTCCTCTTATTCCTGAAAGATATTTTCACTGAGCAGAGCATTTTGTATTGACAGTTGATTTATTTCAGCACTTGAAAAATATCTGTTACTTCCTCATGGTCCCCACAGTTTCTGATGAGAAATCTTCTGTCGTTCAAATTGCTTTTACCATATAGAAAGTGCGTCATTTTTTTTCTTGCTGCTTTCCAGATCTTTGTTTTTCTTCCTTAATCAGAAGTTTAATTACTATTTTTCTTGGTGTGAGTGTCTTTGGTTTATCCTGTTTGAGGTTTGCCCAGCTTCTCAAATCGTAGGTTTAAATCTTTGCAAAATGTGAGAAATTCTTAAGCCATTATTTAAGTACTTTTACATTCTCTTCTCTTTCCTGGAATTCAATAACATAAATATTTGCTCTTTATCACAGGGTCTTGCTCATTTTTCTAGTCTATTCTAATTTCCTGTAAACTACTTCTTTCATCTGTCTTTTCCATTCTGTTGTTGAGTCCATCCATGGACCTTTGCATTTCAGTTATGGTATCTTTTGGTTCTATAATTTCCCTTTGATTCTTCTTTATATATCTTATTTATTTACTGAGCTTTGTAGCATTTTTTCATTTGCCTCAAGCATGTTTATAATCACTTGCAGTAGCACTTTTATTATAGCTGCTTTAAAATATTTGTCAGATGATTCTAACAACTTTGTCATCTCAGTGTTAGCATCTATTAATTGTCTTCTGTCATTCAGTTTGAGATCTTGTCCATTCATAACAAGTAACTTTTCACTGAATCTTTGACATTTTGTAATATGAGACTCTGGTTATTATATAAAGCTTCAGCCTGGAGTGATGACTCTTACCCGTAATCCCAGCCCTCTGGGACGTCAAGGTGGGAGGATCACTTGAGCCCAGGAGTTTCAGACCAGCCTGGGCAACATAGGAAGACCCCATCTCTAGAAAAAAGCTTAATGTTAGCAATGTGTGGTGGTGCACACCTGTGGTCCTAGCTACTCGGGAGGCTGAGGTGGAAGGACTGCTTGAGCCCAGGAGGTTGAGGCTGCAGTAAGCCCTGATTATTCCACTGCACTCCAGCCTAGCTGACAGAATAAGACTCGATCTCCAAAAACATATATACATAAAGAAAGAAATAAGCTTTTACTTCAGCTGGCTTTTTCTGTTATTGCTCAGCAGGGGGAAGTGAGTTCCTACTTTATTACTGCCAGAGAGAGGTAGAAGTTTAGGTTCCCCCTCAGCTTTCCTGTAGAGGGGTCTACTCATTACTTCTGCGCAGGGTACAAGTCCTGGTCCTCACATGGTCTCCACTACCACCATGGTGGAGGTGGCCTCATTACTGAAGAGTAATGCCAAACATTCTGACTCTGCACTGAGCTGCTTTGATACCAAACAGTAAAGAAGGGAAAGAATACAGCATTAAGGCTGGGTAGGTGTTGAAATCTAGGCTTTCCATGTGGTCTCTCTTAAAATAGCAGGTATGGACTCTTTACTTCTGGAGGGGAATCAACAACACAGGTCCTTACTTAGCCTTCTGTGACACTATCCCGGCAGGGGTATTGGAGTAGCTTGTTGCAACATCTTGAGGTGAAAGTCTAGACTTTCCACTTAGTTTTTACTGATATGGAGTGGGTGGTGGCTCACTTTTTCCTTTTACTTTTTTTGTTAGTGTTTGGCTGGGGTAGGTTGTCTGAAGGTTTTCTGTCTTGCTGGGCTGCCCTACTGTAGTCCTTTGGCTAGAGAGAGCAGACTTTTATTGGGCCTGGTTTTTGGTCTAC